CCCTCCGCCGCACGGAGTCCCGACGTCACCGCGACGTGAACCTGCCGCCATTTGGTTGAACATCCTAAAAGGTCGAATTCATCATCGGCGCATTTCCTTCGGCCTAATCCGGCCAAGCTCGGCTTAATCCAGCCGGATCTGGTTTGGCGACATTGTGGTTGACTCCCGCTCAAGAGCCCGCCACTCGGGCTCAGTAGCTATTGATTGGTGCCACGAAAACCCTTGGGAGGTACCTCCTCACGATTGCCGAACAGCCTGGGGCGAGCGGGCGGGCCAAGGGCGCGCGCCGCCGCCGTTTTCGTTGCGATGTTGCGCAGCTGATCTTGGGCTCGAGCCCAGTGCACACGGAGGGGAGGAGGTGGATCGGCGGCGAGCGAGGGGGGGGAAACGACGAGCAGAAGGCCTTCTCAGAAGTTGGCGGGACTTCTCAGAAGACCTCGCGCCTTCTCAGAAGTTGTTGAAGGCTCAGACAACTGCTCAGACAGCCATGGGACTTCTGAGCCTTCTGAGAAGACCTTCTCATTCTCACTTCCCCCCCTTGCTCGCCGCCAAGTGGAGGGATCAGGCAAGCCAGTGGTGAGACGTTCCGCACCGCTCTGAGAGCGTTCCGCAACGCCCTGCAGTGGCTGCGGCGCCCGATGCGTCCTCAAGACTGGCGGTTCGCAGAGATTTCCGATGAGCGGTTATCCGAAGTCGTCTTCGCACCTTGCGTCTTAGAGGAGTGGTGCGCGCTGCCCCCCTGGCGCCCGGCTTGGTGGCCACCCAAGATGGGGTGAACGCCAGGACCTTCTCCCGGGAGTGATTCTGGATTTCTGTTCTTTGCAGTCTGATAGCCCTATAGCCTTGCAGCCTCTGCTGCAAGGCATGTGATGTAGTGAGATGTGGGGGGGGGCAGATGTAGTGAGATGTGTGGGGGGGTGGAGGATGACCGCAGCATTGGTGCCGATCGTGTGATGGCGCACATCTTGCCCAGCTGTACCCCGTTCGTTTCACCCAGTCGGTTTCCCCGTCTTGTTCCCAACCATCTTGTGGTTTGGGGTCCTCGTTTTGAAGAGAGCGCCCGTGTTCCTTCCCCCCTTCTCCTGCGCCTCCTCCTCTTCCGCAATAATTACACAATATGAATACTATTCCCCTCTCTCTCTCTCTCTCCTGATGACGTCGGGAAGTTGCCTGGCCCCCCTCCGCGTATTGCTTTGTACACAGAATTCCCGGGAACGGGGTTTTCGTTGGGCTTTTCTCAAAATGTTGTTCCCGCTGCAGCGCAGGCCTCATTATTGGGCCTCCGCTCGTTCCGAATCGTGTTCCCGCTGCAGTGCTGGCCTCATTTCCGTGCTTCCGCTCGTTCCGAACCGTGTTCCCGCTGCAGCGCTGGCCTCATTTCCGCGCTTCTGCTCGTTCCGAACCTTGCTCCCGCTGCAGCGCTGGCGTCAGTCATTATTTCCAGTGCCATGCCACGGCATGGTTTTCGGCCCTTCAAGTAGGCCCCAAAATCTAGAAAACGCCCCCCCCGACAAAAACATCGGAAGCGATTACACATCCGGTGTCGATTCGTTGATGTTTTGGGCCGCAGAAGCCACCCCACTTTGGGGTGTCGCCACGCCATGCTAACGCTAATTATGTTGTCATGCTACGCGCTGATCTTCAGCACCACTATATGCAATGTGATGCTACTTCATGCTGCGACATCCGACTGTGTGAATAGAGAGGAGATCTACGCCATGATTAGGGACGGGAGGGGTGGATAGGACGACGGATATGACGCGAGCGCACCTAGCTTGTCCTCCTCCTCCTCCTCCTCCTCCTCCTCCTCCTCCTCCTCCTCCCCCTGCTTTTCCGTTGCCATTTTGGCTCAAGTGCCAACAGCGGCAGCAGGATTTCCCTTTGCCCAGTCGCACTGAGCGGGCAGCCCTCTTCAGGGGGCGATCTGGGTGCGAGCCCAGGCGGACACAATTTTTTCCTCTTTGTCCGAGTGCGCAGCGCACTCACTCGTGCCATGGCAGACGCTTCCATGACGGAGCTCATGAATCAGATGCAGAATAATCTGAATGCCAGCATTACGCAGCAGATCCAGGCCATGCAGACCTCCATTCAGGCAAGCTGCACAGAGCAGTTTGGAGTGCTCTCGAACTCAGTCAACTTGAGGCTCGATGACCAGAATGCTGCCATAGCGATTCAGACGGCACATCTGAAGTCAGTTCAGGAGACAGTGAACAAGCACTCGGCCGCGATCGCCATTCTGCAGGCTCAGTCCAGGGGATCAAGTTCGACTGGTCCTCCGAGTTCTTCCGCATCGGAGAGTCGACGGCAGGATAGCGAGCCCAGGCACAAACGCAATCGACATGAAGGTGAACTCGAGGCAAACGTGCCAGCACCGCCAGGACCGCTCAATTCTCGCTCATACTCATTCGACAAGTGCCGCAGATGGATTGGATCTTTCCCCAGGCCCTTGCTCGCCAGCAAACGCCAAGCTCACTTTGAGCAGGTCAAGAGCCAGATCATG